TCTATTTTTAGCCATGGTGGCCATCTTGATTGGTGGGTGGGATCATCGGATATATTTTTTAAACTAGATACCCTAAGGATGATTTAGGCCAAGTTTGGTTTAATTTGGACCAGTGGTTTCAGGAGAAGATTTTTGTAAAAGTTAACAAGGACGACGACGGACGACGGATGCCAAGTGATGAGAAAAGCTCACTTGACCCTTTGGGTCAGGTGAGCTAATAAAAAGATCAATAATAATCTGATAAGGTGTTTACTTATGAAAAAGACAAACTACTTAATTAGGGCCACTAAATAAGCAGGATTTTTTAAACATATAAATAAGTTGCATTCCATCTTTAAGTTTTAAAGATCATTCTTCTTAATTCTTCACCAATCAATATGCTATTATGCCTAGCAAATTCCTTTGTTGACTTGAATCTTCCTCATTTTATCAATTAAGAACATTATATCATTATTTAAGTAACTATCAACTATACAAACAAGAGGCTCTCAAGAGCCTGAATCGCTCACCTGTAATTTTTTGCTTAAATCTTTCATCAATGATTATTTTTGCTTTTTAATATATATTAATGAGTGGCTTAAAAATTCCATTGAGATGTTCTTTGTATCTGTCATATTTTCTTCAAAAGCAAAGAAATACATTTTACCCCTATGTTCCATTTTAGCCATAGTGGCTATGTTTCTTGACGTACAAGAAAATAAAATAAAAAATTTATACTAGATACTCTGAAACTCATTCAGCCCAAGTTTGGCTGAAATTGATTCAGCAGTTTCAAAGGAGAAGATTTTTTAAAGTAATTTAACTTATTTGTAGATCTTACTTTGCTGAACATTTTTGCTGTTCACAGTTTATCTTTTTCATTAATAATATTCAAGATAATAACCAAAAACTGCAAAATTCCTTAAAATTACCAATTTAGTGGCAGCAACCCAACAATGGACTGTTAGATTCGTCTGAAAATTTCATGGCTGATAGAACTTGGCCTAATGAACATTTTAACCTCTCATCAGATTTGCTCTTATGGCTTAAGTGTTTGAGATATATCTATATACAGAACCCCTATGTCCTAATTTTAGCCATGGCGGCCATGTATTTTAACAAAACAGAAAATAAAACACAATCTTTATTCTAGATACCATAAGGATCATTCAGCTTAAGTTTGGTTGGAATTGGTTCAGTAGTTTCAGAGGAGAAGATTTTTTAAAGTTAGAAAACATGATAAACAAATTGTGTAAAATTATCCTCAAAGGGCAATACTCCTTAAGGGTCATTTGACAATTTTGGTCATATAAACTTATTTGTAGATCTTACTTTGCTGAACATATTTGCTGTTTACAGTTTATCTTTATCATTAATACTATTAAAAATTATAACCTAAAACTGCAAAATTTCCTTAAAATTACCAATTTAATGGCAGCAACCTAACAATGGGTTATTAGATTCATCTGAAAATTTCAGGGCTGATAGAACTTTACCTTATGAACACTTCTCCCCATGTCAGATTTGCTCTAACTGCTTTGGTTTTTGAGATATAAGCCAAAAACTGCATTTTACCCCTATGTTCTATTTTTAGCCATGGCGGCCATGTTTTTTGACGAAACAGAAAATAAAACACAAACTTTATTCTAGATACCCTATGGATCATTCAGCTTAAGTTTGGTTGGAATTGGTTCAGTGGTTTCAGAGGAGAAGATTTTTTAAAGTTAGAAAACATGATAAACAAATTGTGTAAAATTGTCCTTAAAGGGCAATAACTCTTTAAGGGGTCAATTGACAATTTTGGTCATAAAACTTATTTGTAGATCTTACTTTGCTGAACATATTTGCTGTTTACAGTTTATCTTTATCATTAATACTATTCAAGATTATAACCAAAAACTGCAAAATTTCCTTAAAATTACCAATTTAATGGCAGCAACCTAACAATGGGTTATTAGATTCATCTGAAAATGTCATGGCTGATAGAACTTTACCTTATGAACACTTCTCCCCATGTCAGATTTGCTCTAACTGCTTTGGTTTTTGAGATATAAGCCAAAAACTGCATTTTACCCCTATGTTCTATTTTTAGCCATGGTGGCCATGTTTTTTGACGAAACAGAAAATAAAACACAAACTTTATTCTAGATACCTTAAGGATCATTCAGCTTAAGTTTGGTTGGAATTGGTTCAGTGGTTTCAGAGGAGAAGATTTTTTAAAGTTAGAAAACATGATAAACAAATTGTGTAAAATTGTCCTTGAAGGGCAATAACTCTTTAAGGGGTCAATTGACAATTTTGGTCATAAAACTTATTTGTAGATCTTACTTTGCTGAACATATTTGCTGTTTACAGTTTATCTTTATCATTAATACTATTCAAGATTATAACCAAAAACTGCAAAATTTCCTTAAAATTACCAATTTAGTGGCAGCAACCCAACAATGGGTTATTAGATTCATCTGAAAATTTCAGGGCTGATAGAACTTTACCTTATGAACACTTTTACCCCATGTCAGATTTGCTCTAACTGCTTTGGTTTTTGAGATATAAGCCAAAAACTGCATTTTACCCCTATGTTCTATTTTTAGCCATGGTGGCCATGTTTTTTGACGAAACAGAAAATAAAACACAAACTTTATTCTAGATACCCTAAGGATCATTCAGTTTAAGTTTGGTTGGAATTGGTTCAGTAGTTTCAGAGGAGAAGATGTTTGAAATAGTTTACACCAGACGGACGACGACGACGATGACTGATGACGATGGACGCCAAGTGATGGCTAAAGCTAACAGTTCCTTCGGAACGGTGAGCTAAAAACCCTAGGTATTTTGCTATTTAATATTTTCTAATAGTGTATGACCTTTCTTAGTCAAAGTAAACAGTAAACTATATATTTATGAAACATAGGTTCTAAAAGTACATTATCAGTGCATAGTAATGGCTTACAAGGATGTTAACTTTACAGGTGCAAATGTATTACTTTATACTCAATATTTGAGGAAACAAACTTGTATCCATGTCATTTTGAATATACTAGGTTTAATTTCACAAACAAAAACATAAAAGCAATCTAGTATATTTGACAAAGAATTTTAAATCACATACATGTACACCAATCTTAAGAGTTATAGATGGGACAAATATAAATTGTAGATAAGAAAAACATATTTTTCTTTTATAATTCTTTTTATAGTGATTTGACTTTCATGTGCTTCCATTTAGACTTCAACATATTTTTTTTTATCACAAGTCCTTTTCATTTCATTACTTTTATTTACTAACTTAAAATATAGAATATATCTATATATGTTTTAAAATATAAACTTTGTTTGTACAAGGCTTGGTAGAATGCAAGTAATTAACTCATAGTTAGAAAATGTGGAAAATGTCCCACTATCTATATTGGAAGTTACAGTATGTGATGATAAAGGGTTTCTGCCTTTCTGGTATATGTTAGGTAGATATTGGCAAAGAGTGTCAGAGAAAAAAATGAAAGTGTGATTCCTTTATAAGGCATTCAATGGAACCTATGTAATGCATTAATGGAACAATGTATAATACTCAATCAGCATGAAATAGAGGTTCTTTATACAGGTTCTTCCGATTGTAATTAAGAACAGAATCTTAGATGCAAATTTCTTGCCTGATTAATTGAAATATAACATTTTTAAACACTTTCCACACATGATTTATGGAAAGTTTGATTCTGATCACCCATGAAATCTTAGTATGGTATACAGTTTCCACATTATCAATTGAATTTTTCCTTTGATTTGTATTTGGAGCATGCAAGGATTTTGTATAATGAATTAATACACCATATCCTATTAGTTTACATTATTCCCAACCAATCAGCACAATATGAAAAATCTGTAGTGTCACAATTCCAATAATGTTTTGATAAATTTGACATTGTAATTGCATCATTGCCTTTGGTATCCATGTTTTTTTCCAAATACAATGAAATGAGGGAATTTGTCAGAGGAAATATCATAATACCTTCCAGGACTTATCAAAATAGGCTTAGCAGTTTAAGATGAGAACATTAAAATGCAAAAATTTAAAAGACTAATTGAGTTGATATGTTTTGATCTTTGAGCGTTTTTTGTGAGTTGTTGAGTTGAAGTCTCACTGACACTGAAATATACCCAACATCTTCTTTATCCATAAATACGACAGAATGAACTAATAGACTGCAATTGCCACAGTATTGACCAGGTATTAAAGGATCATGCCATAGTAATTATTGTATGTAATAATAATTGAATTAGCATTTTAGATAGACTAAATTCATTCATTAACTTGATCAAACCTATAATTTTCTGCATTCCTTTTTTTCTGAAATTCTCAGAGAATGAATCTTACATGATTGTGACACAAAGTGCTCCATTCAAAAAGTGACAACTGCTGTTATAAACCAATAACAGGATTCCTTCTTAAAACTGTGAACAACTCAATGCATTATTAAGTGTAGTCTCTTACTGTACAGTTTTCAAGCAACTTTATATATTCAAGCAGACACAATGATTAATAAAAGAGATCTGCAGTCCTAAATCATGTCTATCACATGTTTACCATCCAACATCCAAATTGCTCCTTTAATAAGAAAACAATTGATCTTACTAGTATTATAGAAAAATTCAACTTATCTAGGTCTAACAGATGATTTGTTTATTGCAAAAGTTGATAAAGCTTATTTCAACATGTGTCATCTCAAAAGACTTAAAACAGCCAAACCAAAAAGCTGCAGATCTCCTTACTTATAAAACTGATATCTCTAATACTAGCTAACAATATTCAATTTCTATTTAGTGAAACTAATTTTATACTAGCTTGTAAAGCTTAATAAAGTACTGGTGTTAGCCGTTTTTGTTAATTTTGAAAACTGTACACAATCAGAGAAGTTGTTTGAAGAAGTTTTACAATGACAAAATAACCATACTGACTAGAGTAGAGAGAATGCACCACCACAAAGGTTTGTGTGACCACAAAGGTAATGTGACCACAGTAGTATTGTTACCTTCTCTGGGACTAAATGCAATGTTTATTTCAATTCCTGTTGATTTTGTTGTTGCTGATCCAGGTTTAGAGTCAACTATTGACCCAGAACCTTGGATAGAATTACTCATCATACTTGAACGGGACTGTATGTTCCTACCTGCTCTAGTTCGTACTGAAATTTTAATGTAACACTACATATCAAATAGCACAAATAAAAAACATAACCATAAATATCAAATTTGTGAAAAAATGCTGGAGATTATTAAAGCTTTTGTGACTAAATCATCTTATAATTAATAACTAACCTGCTAATTTTTAATTGAAATTAATTTTGTAAAATCGTATTCACATAATGTAAGTTAAAATAATTCATGATTCTTATGTATGAAGCTGCTTCTTTAATTAGAAGATACACCTATTTGTGAAATATAATATCTCAGGTCTGATCTTGACAGATAGTCCTATAGAGCTCTGGACTCTGTTTAACAGGGAAATTAAGAACTTCTATTGTTTAACAAGGAAATTAAGAACTTCTTTTCTGAGACCTAAGAACTATTGAACTTTATATTGAGTTATTGTAAAAATAAAGCTAACATGAATGACAATTATATTATGACCTTTTTACAGAGAAATTATCATGGAATATAAATACAGACTATTGCATGATGGGATCGATCATGCTAAGTAAGGGAAAGGAATGATTGTGACATCAAATGAAAGGGCTATAACAATGGACAAATAAACATCTAAACATCAGATGAAAGGGCTAACAATGGACAAATAAACGTCTAAACATCAGATGAAAGGGCTAACAATGGACAAATAAACGTCTAAACATCAGATGAAAGGGCTAACAATGGACAAATAAACATCTAAACATCCATTTACTGAACTTATCAGATGAAAGGGCTAACAATGGACAAATAAATGTCTAAACATCAGATGAAAGGACTAACAATGGACAAATAAACGTCTAAACATCAGATGAAAGGGCTAACAATGGACAAATAAATGTCTAAACATCCATTTACTGAACTTATCAGATGAAAGGGCTAACAATGGACAAATAAATGTCTAAACATCTATTTACTGAACTTATCAGATGAAAGGGCTAACAATGGACAAATAAACATCTAAACATCAGACGAAAGGGCTAACAATGGACAAATAAACGTCTAAACATCAGATGAAAGGGCTAACAATGGACAAATAAACGTCTAAACATCAGATGAAAGGGCTAACAATGGACAAATAAATGTCTAAACATCAGATGAAAGGGCTAACAATGGACAAATAAATGTCTAAACATCCATTTACTGAACTTATCAGATGAAAGGGCTAACAATGGACAAATAAATATCTAAACATCCATTTACTGAACTTATCAGATGAAAGGGCTAACAATGGACAAATAAACGTCTAAACATCAGATGAAAGGGCTAACAATGGACAAATAAATGTCTAAACATCAGATGAAAGGGCTAACAATGGACAAATAAATGTCTAAACATCCATTTACTGAACTTATCAGATGAAAAGGCTAACAATGGACAAATAAATGTCTAAACATCCATTTACTGAACTTATCAAATGAAAGGGCTAACAATGGACAAATAAATGTCTAAACATCCATTTACTGAACTTATCAGATGAAAGGGCTAACAATGGACAAATAAACGTCTAAACATCAGATGAAAGGGCTAACAATGGACAAATAAACATCTAAACATCAGATGAAAGGGCTAACAATGGACAAATAAACATCCATTTACTGAATGTGGAACAATAACACAAAAGAAATTAGAAAAATATGCTCATGTATATTTTAAATATGTTATTAAAAATTGAAATATCTGATGATTATACAATTACTACTATCCTCAATTATTCTAAATAGTTTAAAAAAATTATCATTTTGAAAATATGTTAATGCAAAAAACGTTTCCTAATATATATATTTCTAATTAACCTATCACAAAAAATTTAAAAAAGTCACACATTAAATTGTCTCTAGCATAACAAAATATAAAATATTGTGATATCTCACCTTTTATACTGTTCTGAACTGGAAAAAGTTTATTAAGACTTAACAAACAAAAAAGAAATATAAACAGTAATCACAAAGATGTCATTTCTGAGTAAAATGGGAAATCTGCACAAATTTATACCATAATAATAAGACTTTCAAGTACAAATCTTTATATCATAAGTAACTACTAAGAAGCTTCATCCAAATCTATACAGTAATGTTGTAAAATATATTAGCCATGCACAAACATAGAGAAGTATATTTTCCAAATTAGCTATAACTGGCCAACTGGTCACAGAGGGTATGCTTGTTTATCAATAGTTAGCAATAAAATGGGATAATACTTGACGTACTAATTCAATGTTTGGAAAATAATAAACTCTTCACCTCAAAGGCTCAACCCTTGATCGCTGAAAGATTTATTATCTGATAGACTCGACCACTCTAAATTACTGCTACTGTTGGGCTCCTGTTCATCCAGAAAACAATGTTAAGAGCTGTTTAAACACTTGAAAAACTACAGTCTATTAACATATATTTCAATCCTGGTTAGTTGCAATTGAACACTTTAGTTATTTATACAACAATATTTAGCCAAAGTACAAATATGTACCTGTTCTGTGTCGCACTGTACGACGATAAGGTCGTACCCTACCATCAGGGAAAAAGTCATCTGACAGCAAAGTACACATGTTATTAGATCAAAACACAACTGCAGAATTAAGTATTCAATTTTATAACAAATAAAGGTTTAAATCATGCAAATACATTGCAACACTGTTTTAAAAAAAAAAATGATTATATTGAAGCATGCCTTTCTATGGAAGATCCTATGGACTACATTATTACTATTATAGCTAACAATTAAGAGAATGTTACACTGCAATGGAATTTTCAACTGCCACATAAAACACAATGAAACAAAATGCCACTGAGTATGCAAACTTTAAGACCTATGGTCTTCAAGTAGTAAAATTCTCACAAGTTTTCGTTATGCTACAATAATCCTTAAGCAATCAGTCACATCTCTCTAGCAGAAATTACAGAATTATATGGATAACAGCATATGACGACAAATAAATTTACCAAGTAATTGAAGGCTTGAGGGAAAATAGTCCCAGGAAACTAGTGTTCACTAGGTTTCATTATACTATTCTGTGACTTATAAAAGTGACTGCAAGTTTTGGAGAAAAAAAAACTCATAAAAGAAACCAGGCTATAAATATCATTTAAATGATATTTTTGTCAATAAAACACTAAAACTTTTGAAATAACAAAATAAAAATCATGCTGTTTAGCAATATTTGAGTTATAAAATAACAGATATCTGTTTTTTACATGTATATGCTAATGTGTTGATGTCAAAATAACAAAATAAAAATCATGCTGTTTAGCAATATTTGGGTTATAAAATAACAGATATCTGTTTTTTTACATGTTTATGCTAATGTGTTGATGTCAAGGTTTGAAATATCTACCATTTAGGTTACACATATTTGTCCCATACTACTCTGCCTTTTGCTTTGGCATTTTTTTTTTTGTGTGGGACTTTGATTTTTTTGGCCTATTGTAGCATAAGACAACTATTGAACTTCTATAAGACTATATGTCTTAAAGCTTTCTTACTTTGTGAGATTGTTCTCAATTAGGTTTAACTGGCCCTACTGTACTGCTATTTTTGAAAGAGTTTTTAGACTCTTAGCAAAGTGCATGACACTGGAAAGCATTGCACCAGGCAACATAACTGCAGTAATGAATTATAATTGGCATCACATTGAATTAAAATTTTAGGAGAAATGGACAATTCAAACTATATATATGAATTATTAGGCCAAACCTTTATGTATTGTGCTTGACAATGGTGAAGCATAAAATACATCATGAACAGACTGTATTGTATAACTTTTCTACCTTTTAAACTTAATCAACTTTCTACAAATTGTAAATGCTCCTGTGCCAGAGTTAGGTTACTAAGATAACTATTTGTTTCCTTCATTTCCATTTGACAAAGGTACAACAAAATATCATTGTACCATCTAAATAAAATATTTCACAATTATTGTGCAGAAACTTTTAAATTAGATTATCAAGTTCCTAAGTTAGTTACTAGTGTAAAAAAAATTTAAATTATTTGAAATAAACACCATGCCTTGTTTATTTTGTTTTTCACACACTTTTTTTACCTTTGACTGCAGTGTTATTTGTCTTTTCTATTGACTTAATTTTCTGTTGTTTTTGTGGAAAGGGTTTACTTTCAAGTGAATTAGTTTTTTTCCGTTGTTGAACACTGGAGGATTCATTTAAATTCTCATCTTTGCAATAAAAATCAATAGAAATAATTATTTAAGAGTAAATTAAGACTATGGTAACATTGTACACAAAAAATACTAATAAACTTCTTCTGAGCTATTGTTACTTATCTGGCCTGCACTTTAAATAGAAAATAGGATATATTGTTGAAGTTTAATGTACTATTGGCAATCTTTCAACAATACTCAGAAAGTGAATGCATTAATGAGATAGAAAATATTCCTCAAACATTTTAAATATATCAGGCGCACAAATTCAATATACATGTATGCAATCTATCTATGAAGTTTTATGGATTGATAAGTTGAAAAGTGTTACAAAGGAGTCGACTTTATAAAATAATTACCGTCGTTTGTAAATTTTGCTTAAAAATTTGTAAAAAAAGTGTCATTCTTATATTGAAGGGATATTTAAACTCATATTTAGATGAAGAGAAACAACAACTTCATGGCAAAAAAATAAATACAACAAAAAGTGGTGTTATATTTATTACCACGGTCCTAGCTTAATAGATTTTATAATAGACTAGCTATTGTTAATGTTTTAATTAGAGAAACAGTGCTATTTCATATCCCTTGGAAGCTATTTGAAAATACATTTGTTCTGCGAGTTTCTTCCTGAAGATCCTTAAATTTCTGTAATCGCCATAAGTTAATGTCAAGTAGGTTGGGAGGAGTGGCAGATTAACAAATGGGTAATAGCCAACAGATGAAAAACAAGAAGCATAGTTGTGATCCCTGTGTGGACACAAAAACAGGGTTATTTGGTGAGCTGTTTGACAAAATTCATATAACTTAAAACTTAGATTTTATATGAAAGCATCATATCACAAGTATGTAACACTTCTATAATAACACATGAAACAAACAAAAAGAATGCTATAACTCCGTCATCAAAAAATAGTTATATTGACTAATTGAGTACCTGAGCTTCATTTTTTTGCATCAGACACTTGTTTGTTTCAAGCAATGCTAGATTACTAAAGTACTTACTGACATTCTTTTCAAAATACTTACCATCTTTCAGATTAGATTTTGCTTCCTGTACTTTATTCTGTAAATTCAGTATTTGTCTCTCAAGCTGTTCATTTATTTCTGTTTGAGTTTCATACCTGGTTTTCCACTCATTTCCTTAAAAAGATAAAACTATTTACATTGAAATAAGGAAGAATATAAAATAGATTCTAAGATTCTTCATGGTATAGGTTAAGTCAATTCTCTAATTATGGCTTGGTTTGACTGTTACAGATTAACTCTTAAAGAAATTTATCATGGATATCATTTGTACTATTTTGTTGTAGTCACAATTCTGTTCTTTTTAAAACACTGAAAGGGGCATTAGCTGGCAAATTCAGGTTCACTGATTTGACCCAAGTTCTCATATTTAATTTATAACATACAGAAACGCAATTACAGTCGAACCTAGTTGTGTCGAAGTCGAAGGAACCGGACCAAAGTATTCGACTTATCCGAGGTTTCGACTCATCCAAGGTCAAGTATGTCATCATAAATTTGGAATGCATGAAATACGGTATAAGATTTGATATTACACTTTATGATTGTGTATTCAATCTCCACATTTTTTTATCCTTCATAATAATCAAACACACACGTACAGAAAAAAATCATGCACAAATAAAATCAATAGTCTACACAAATATTGACAAAGGTCAGTCACTATAATTTATGAAATCACTGTGGAACAAAATAAGTTCTGAACAATTTCTGGTGAGGTCGTCTGCTCTACATTAAATTATTATGAATTTATCATTATTGTCTTAATCCTTTTTTTTATTGTAATGAATGAGTTTTAATTGAAACGATTGATCTAATCTCTGCTTGGGTCATTTAAATTCTTTTTGTTTTTATGTCATGTGAAATATGTTCAACACACTAAACGTTCCACTTGAACGATCAACAAAGGTGTTAATTACCTGAGTGAGTCACCATAAACATGAGGTGACTCACTCAGTTTTAATCCCTTTCGAAAATGATTAGGTTACATAAGAAATACATCAGATTTGAATTTTTATCATTAGGTCTGCATCTTTAGAAAATTCTTACTTTCGAACTTCGAGACATCGGGATATATTTACATTAATTTAACATCGACAGGACTATAAAATTTACTCGACTTAACTGAGTATTCGATTCAACCAAGTTCGACTCATCAGAGTTAATAATGTATTGATCAAACAGGAATTTTACTGGGACCGAGAAATTACTTTGACTCATCCGAGTTTTTGACACAACCGAGATTGATACAACGAGGTTCGACTGTAATTCAAATTGCAAAAAGGTTCAAAAGAAACAATTAACAATGCATGGACTAGTTATAATGTATCAACATGTCATGCTTATTTTAGACAAGACAGTATCTAATTATCCATCAAGATGACCTCTGGAGACTGCTGATGGTCATTTAACCTGATTTAAACATAAATATAAATAAACAATCAATGCTTGTGCAATTGTATAATGATGAATTTTCTATTTGATTTCATGTTACAGAATAAAAATATATGCATATTATCGTTTTACCTGTATTAGTAAGATTTTTTGTGGGTCGAATTAGTCAACAAAATGGTTATTTCTTAAGGCTCCCTTGTTTCATTTTTCAATGTTGACATTCTTTTCCTTTTAATGAATGAACCACATCCTGAACACAAGCACAATCCAGGTCAAATTAAAGGTTTCGTAAATACTGATTCAAACGAGTTGAATTATTAACTTGCAAGCCAATAATACATCAGCAATGTTTTTTAGCTTATTTTGACGAAATTGAACCAAACTGACTGCTTAAGGTGAGATTTTATTTCTATATTACAGTTTAACAAGAGTGCACACACTGAAATGTCTAGCCTGCTTTACTGAACATTGATTTTTATGTTGATAGCCTTAAATTATAATATAAAGCTTTACTACAAGTATCACTTAAACTTAACATGATCCAAGAAAATGAGGTCAAGGTCAGATAAACCAAACCGGAAATACATGTACACCTTACAATCATTCCATACACCAAATATAGTTGACCTATTGCTTTTAGTTTCTAAAAAACAAACTTAACCAGGGAAATTTAACATTGACCAATGAACCATGAAAATGAGGTCAAGGTCAGATGAACCATGCCAGACAGACATGTACACCCTACAATCAATCTATGCATTAAATATAGTTGATCTATTTCTTATAGTATCTAAGAAACAAACTCTATTTTTTTGTACATAAATTAGGTCGTTAGTTTTCTCGTTTGAATTGTTTTACTTTTGTTATTTTGGGGCCTTTTATAGCTGACTATGCGGTATGGGCTTTGCTCATTGTTGAAGGCCGTACGGTGACCTATAGTTGTTAATTTCTGTGTCATTTGGTCTCTTGTGAAGAGTTGTCTCATTGGCAATCATACCACATCTTCTTTTTTATATCAACCATGAAAACATTAACATTGACCAATGAACCATGAAAATGAAGTCAAGGTCAGATGATACCTGCCAGACAGACATATACACCTTACAATCATTCCATACACCAAATATTGTTGACCTATTGCTTATAATTTAAGAAAAACAGACCAAAACACAAAAACTTAACACTGAGCAATAAACCATGAAAAGGAGGTCAAGGTCATATAAAACCTGCCTGACTGACATGTACACCTTACAATCATTTTATACACCAAATATAGTAGACCTATTGCTTATAGTATCTGATATATGGAACTTAACCTTGTTCACTGATCCATGAAATGAGATCGAGGTCAGATGAAAACTGTCTGACAGACATGAGGACCTAGCAAGGTACGCACATACTAAATATAGTTATCCTATTGCTCATAATAAGAGAGAAATTAACATTACAAAAAATCTTTTAACTTTTTTTTCAAGCAGTCATTGAACCATGAAAATGAGTTCAAGGACAATGGACATATGACAGCCGAAAACTTCATTACATAAGGCATCTATATACAAAGTATGAAGCATTATTCCAAGGTCGTCCACCTTCTAAAATATAAAGCCTTTGAGTAGTTAGTTAACGCCGCTGCTGCTGCTGATGCCGGATCACTATCCCTATATTGAGCTTTCTGCAACAAAAGTTGCAGGCTCGACAAAAATTATAAATGTTTGAAGCAATAACTAGAGGCTCTAAAGAGCCTGTGTTGCTCACCTGCATCTTCAACAATGGCCACTTTTTAGTAAAAATCATTATTAAAGGGGAACAACTCTATTAAGAGTTAACTGACAATAAGTCATGTTGACATAAATATAGATCTTATCCTGCTGATAATTTTTCCTGTCTTAAGTTTCTACTTATCCATTATAGATTTCAAGATAAAGTCTAAAAATGCAAAAAAAATGTTAAAAATTATCATTAAAGGGCAATAATTTCAATAATGAGTCGACTGAAGATTTCAGCCTTGTAGATCTTAAATTGTCTTGCTGATCATTTGTGCTATTTAAAGTTTCTATCTATCTATTACAGTTTCAAGATAATAGACAACTAGAGGCTCTCAAGAGCCTGTGTCGCTCACCTGACTCTACTTTGGTTTTAGAAATCATGTAAAGATAGATAAAAATCAAAACAGATACCCAAATAATGATTGAGGCCAAATTTGGTTTAATATTGGTCCCATTATTTAATAAAATATCCTAGTGGCCATCTTGAAAAGTAAATCGGCAACAAAGTAGCAACACTTGGTCAGCACCTCATAAGGAACATTCATGCTATGTTTGGTTTTATTCCATTCAGTGGTACTCTATAAGAAGACATTTGTATGTATTTCCTATAGGGTCCTATGTTAAACTAAGTCCCCCCCTGGCTGCCATCTTGGATGATGGATCGGCTGCAAAGTAACAACACATGGTCAGCACCTCATAAGGAACATTCATGCCATGTTTGGTTCCATTCCATTCAGTTGTTTTCTAAAAGTAGACATTTGTAAGTATTTCCCATAGGGTCCTATGTTAAACTAAGTCCCTCCCTGGCGGCCATCTTGGATGATTGACCAACTGCAAAGTAACAACACTTGGTCAGCACCTCATAAGGAACATTCATGCCATGTTTAGTTTCATTCCATTCAGTGGTTCTCTAAAAAAAGACATTTGTATGTATTTCCCATAGGGTCCTATGTTAAACTAAGTCCCCCGCTGGCGGCCATCTTGGATGATGGATTGACTGCAAAGTAACAACACTTGGTTAGCACCTCATAAGGAACATTCATGCCATGTTTTGTTTCATTCCATTCAGTGGTTCTCTAAAAGAAGACATTTGTATGTATTTCCCATAGGGTCCTATGTTAAACTAAGTCCCTCGCTGGCGGCCATCTTGGATGATTGACCAACTGCAAAGTAACAACACTTGGTCAGCACCTCATAAGGAACATTCATGCCATGTTTTGTTTCATACCATTCAGTGGTTCTCTAAAAAAGACATTTGTATGTATTTCCCATAGGGTCCTATGTTAAACTAAGTCCCCCGCTGGCAGCCATTTTGGATAATGGATCAGCTACAAAGTAACAACAGTTGGTCAGCACCTCATAAGGAACATTTGTGCCATGTTTGGTTTCATTCCATTCAGTGGTTCTCTAAAAGAAGACATTTGTATGTATTTCCCATAGGGTCCTATGTTAAACTAAGTCCCCCGCTGGCGGCCATCTTGGATGATAGATCGCTACAAAGTAACAACACTTGGTCAGCACCTCATAAGGAACATTCATGCCATGTTTGGTTTCATTCCATTCAGTGGTTCTCTAGAAGAAGTTCAAAATGTAAAAAGTTAACGACGACGACGGACGACGACGGACGCCAAGTGATGAGAAAAGCTCACTTGGCCCTTTGGGTAAACAATATTGGTCATTTCACTTATTTGTAGATTCTGACTTGCTGATCATTTTTGCATTTAAAGTTTCTATCTATCTATTACAGTTTAAAAGATATTAGGCAAAAACACAAAAAATTGGTAAAATTCATCCTTAAATAAGGAGTTGTCTGATGATTTTGGTCATTTGACTTATTTATAGATACTGTCTTGCTGATCATTTTTGCTATTTAAAGTTTCTGACTATCTATTACAATATTTTTTAGATAATATTATAGGATGGTAAAATTCATTTAATTCCTATAAGAAATCGTTT